GAGAATCTAAGGTGGGCCAATCAGAAGGCAGACCAGGTCTACACTGGCACCATCAGGAAAGAGGTATGGAGGCAGTATGTTAGCTCAAAGCTGCTCTTGGCTACCTTTGACACCATATGGTAAGAACTCATCTGAGGTAAGACCAGAGGAGAACAGAGATGCAGAGAGACAGAATCCTGATGACACTGGTTAATCCCCTGGATTCAGCAATACCTAAAGAGCTGCTTTATTATTATTATTATTTTTTTTTATTACAGAGGCAATTAATAATTCTCTTTTTTGCTTAAGCCAGTTGGAGTTGGGTTTTCTGTCACCAATTGGAGTGAACTCACCAGGATGTAGAAGGTGATAAAAATGGGGCTGGAGGTGATGCAGATCTTGGCCCGAGCAAATGGAAGCTTCCAGAGCAGGAAGATGAAGAAGAGCACATTGGGGACGAGCAGCAAGAGGTCCCAGTACCGGACCCTAGCAGATGGGTATAGAAGTCAGCTGACTGGTGAGATTGCACCCCACCTCCATTCTCATTACTTTCTCTCTTTCTCTCTCTCTCTCTCTCTCTCTCAACCTGCTACAGGAAGCTACTGGTAATGATCTGAGTAACTGTTTTGCCACTTCATGCCATGAACCTATCAGTGCCCCCTTAACCACTAGAAACAGGATCATTAATGACTATAAATCTAGTTATATCAGAGAACCTATTCCAGAAAAACCTAGAACTCATCTCTAAGATTCTTTTTTTCTGAACCATTCTGAGACCAAATTCTGTGTCCGTGAAGGAGAACCACTAATGCGCGCGCACACACACTCACACACACACACACACACACACCAGGAAAACCCGCTCACACATAGCCAGCCAGCCCAGCAAGGCCGTGAATGCCTCACCTAGAGGTGCCGATGTCCTTATAGAGCAGCAGCAGACAGCGATGCGGCACACTGATATTGGGCATTGGGGGTAGGGGCAGCGCCAGGTTCCCATTGGCCCTACTCACCTCCTGCAGGGTGTCCATCCCACCAGCAGCAGCCCTGGGGGAGTGAGCCACCATGTTAGCAGCACAGGGGCTGTGTGGCCTTGGGCCTCTAAGTCTCAGGTTCCCAGTGGAACACAAGAGGGGCCACCTACAGTGGGCATGCTGCCCACTGCCCACACACACACCAGGCAGGAGGGAAGGTGTGGCACTCCCACACATGTCACAACCCAACCCCTACACAGGAGCCCAGTCCCTCATCTCGCTGTCTCGTGACCCTCAAATAACAAAAGTACTCCCTTCAGTGATTGAGCCTGCCTCCGTGCCAGGCACAGCAATGCAAGCTACTTAGCATCACCTGTTAGTCCCTCCAATCCCGGGGAAATAGGAGAGAAACAAGGTTCACGTCCCAGCCTGCCCTTACTTCCTTTTCTTCTTTGTGCCTCAGTTTCTCACAACCCCTGTAATGAGGGTAACAATAGTATGCATTCTATGAGCACCAGATAAATGACATGAAGCACCTCCAACAGCCCAACACACATGAAGTCCTCAGTAGCTGAGCTTTGGCTCCAACCCTCCACACCCATGTAGAACCTATTTGGAGGCCGAGTGACATGTGGGGTCACAGGCGCCAAGTGTCAGAGCAGGGCATCGTGCATACCTCAGATGGCCCTCAAGCCTTTGTCTCCTTCTGCTGCCACCCTGGAAAGGCAGATGCAGATGGAGGGGATTTTGCACTATCCCTAGAAGATACACGGAGGTCTCCAAGTGGAAAGGATGAGGAAAGAGGAGGTGCTGAGGAGGGAGCTGTGCCTGCAATGGCAGGGAGCTGCTGGGGGCAGCAGGAGTCAAGGGGGAAGAGCACAGCCAAGCACCCATGTAATGATCTGAGAATGAGAGGTCAGAGTCCAGCCTGGAAGATGAGAATTGGTTGTCTGGGGTCCTGGAGCCACTCTGGACAACCAAGGCAGGCTCATGGGCCGGCCATAGGACTAAAGGCATGCAGCAGTAGAGCTGGGCCCACATTGACAGGGGCAGAGGCTTCCATAGAGAGTTTGGGGAGCCCAGGGAAGGTGAGCCAGGCACGGCCTGGGTACCAGAACATAACAGACACCAGTATTTAAAATGACTGAACCAACAGGGTCCTATGACCCACATCTCCACTTCAGGGTATGTTCATAATAGCCCCAGGCTGGGGGCAGCCCAAATGCCCGTCAGCAGAACATACACATGAATGGCAGTGCTCACATGAACAACAGTGGAACATTGTGGACATCATTTTTTAAAAATAGATTACTGCTACAGCAACATTAAAGGGCCTCGCGAGTGCCAAGCACCAAGTGAACATGTGGTCTGACCTTACGCAGAGAGCCAGGTGAGGGTTATCTTTTCAGAGGATGGAGGGTAGAGGGATAGTGGGAGGCATGCCAGCTTCTGGATACTTAATCTGGGTGATAGGTACACCAGTGTGCTCACTGTGAGCAATTCATTGAGCCACAGACCTATGGTTCCTATACTTGTCATCTGTTTGGGTTACAGTTCAGTAAAGTTTTAAAATCGAGATGTTCTTTTATACGCCAAGAGCACAGGTCTCCTACTCAGCAAGGAATAGCCCAGGTTGGCAAGAAAGACTTGCAGCAATGCAATGGGAATCCCTGCTTGTCTGTCAACTAACACTATTCCTGAAAAACAGCAGGCCCAAGCCAGAGGTAGAGGGAACCAGGGACATCCTCACAACCAGGAAACTTGAGTGCTGCCTCTGGCTGAAAGGGAAAAAAGACTCCATAGGAGGAGGGGGTAAGCCAAGACCTGGGGCTCAGGTCCCTCCATCCCTCTCTCCAATAGGCCACTGACTGGCGCCGGGGTCACGTGCCCACCTGCAACTTGAGAACATACCAATAGCAAGGAGTATTAAAGAGAACACATGCCTGACACATAGTAGGTCCAAAGAAAGAAGCTGGTTCCTTCCTTGTTCTCTACTAATGGGGAAGGCAGCCAAAGAAATCTACCCTTGCTTCATTCATGCAATCTTCCACCAGCAGCAGGCAGTGCTGAGCACCTACTTTGAGCCAGGAGTACAGGTGCTGGAATATACCTGCTCCCATGGGACCTTCCTTCTAGAGGAGAGGTCAACAGCCAGCACAGACCTCATATTTAAAAAGCAAACTTCGTAGAGATAAGTGCTGAGATGAAAAGAGCACAGGACAGGAAATACAATAGAAACTGCTGTGCCCCCCAACATATACCCTTTCCTGGAGTACTAGAGCCCGTGGATTCTAGTTCGCACGTGGCTTCCCAGAGCAATGGCTATTCTCCCAGCCTCCCCTAGTTATGGCCATATGAATAAGTTTTATCCAGCCAGACATAAGCAGTGAGGTTTGCCAATTTCAGGTTGTACCTTTCTCCTTTCCAACTGGCTGGAATGCGAATGTGGTGGTAGAAACAGGAGCAGCCATCTTAGACCATGAGACAGAAGCCATGTATTGAGGATAACAGAGCAATTAGGAAGGTGTCTGGATCTCAGACACAGTGGGGCTCCATTCACGTCCTGGACAGCTTGCATGGAGACTGTCATGCAACAGACAGGAATAATCTTCTATCTTGTTATCTCAGCCTTTGTTTTACAGGCTAAGGCTGAGTCCCAGGGAATGCAAAGTGGTGCTGCCTCAGATTGGGCTGTCAGACAAGGTAACATTTGAGCTGAGATCCAAATAACTGAGAAAAAGCCAGCCTTGGAACAATCTAGACAAAAAGCATACCAGAGACAGGACAGCGATGCAGACCCTGAGACAAACGGGCTTGACCTGTTCAAAGGGCTAAAAGGCCAGTGTGACTACACGTGAAATCAGAAAGGTTGGCAGAGCCAGGTCAGATGGGGCCTTGTGACCACATGCAATGTGACTTCATTCTAAGTGTACTGAGAAGGATTTTCCAAAGGCAGGTGATGCGGTGCCATTTCCCTGTGGAGAGGCTCGCTTAGCTGCCAAGGACAATGAACTGAAGCAGAGAGACCCAGGAGCTACTGCACACCAGTCCAGGCACAAGAGGACAGTGGCTTAACTAGTGGCAGCAGTGGGATACCTTAGGGAGGTCAGGCCACAAGACCTGCTGGCAGACACACAGAGGGAGGGAAGAAAGCAAAGAAAGCCGATATCGTGGTGTCTGGCCTGAGCCCTGTTTAGCAGCAGTGAGGCCAACACTGTCAGTGGTGTCTCCAGCAGACACGGCCCTCTTCTTCCTTGCTAACGAGCTGCTATTTTGTTTCAGGGACCCCCTCCATGGTGCCCTGCATTCAAGACAGGGTCCTCCCCAGCGCCAGAAGCTGAACCTTAATGAGTGTAAGCGGTGGTTGTGTGGAACAGTACCAGACACCTCAGCAGGGCACACGGTGCTCTAGTTTGACACAGAGGAAAAGGTGCTATGGATTTTTTGTGGACAGGGCCCAAGACTGCCAAATGTCCTGCAATGCAGGAGACAGTCCACCAAATGATCATCCTCCCCTTTGCCGACAGTGCCCTGTAGAGCTCTGGTCTGTCAAGAAGGGTGAGCCCTCTCTCCTCTTTATCAGCGGCTGGTTAGGCAAGGACATGTGATGCCACATAGGGAGTCTCCTGAGAAAAGTGTTCTTCCTTGACTGGCAAATACCCCCAAGGACAAAGGCCCCCTTCTATGCACCTGTATGTAGCTCTCAGATTGAGGTATGATGTCTGAACTGTGGCCACGCTGTATCCATGTGAGGACCATGTGAGGAACAGGCCACCACACTGAGCACAGGGAGCTTACAGCTGGCATGGGCTGTACCACCTCCCTCAAAATTTCTGGTGACCTGAGATAACTTGGAAGTGACTGTGAGTTCAAGGAGAAAGATACCAGTCCCCTCTGCCTCACTCCCCACTTCCTGTGGGGCAAACTTCTGGACTTGGCAGCCCCACACCAGCTCTGGCCTAGGACAGAGTGTCAAACAGCCCCAGTTGGGGCAGGGCTGGGGTATAGTACAAGTACCCAGCAGCCACAAGGTAGCTAAGAGGCCCCTGTGGCAAAGAGAAGCCAGTGGGGATGAATAGGGGCCAGGAATGGGAAGAGCTGGATACAGTCCAGAGTGTGGGGTGTCTGGAAGGGTTTCTCTTGGCTTTGCCTGTCCAGCACCCCATTTTCCTGAGGGGAAACCTCAGGTCTCCTAGTCTCCATCCAAGAGGTTTAAGTACAGCTGACTCTACCCCTCCACAACTCCAGGGAATGTGCATGCAATCTAAGCCTGGCCAACAAGGATGTACCATTGTCCTAGCCAGTGAGAACCAGCCCTGAGACTTTTGCTATAATTATTAGGAAAGAGATACAGTATCTGCTGAGAGCAGGAAGCCAGAGCGGAGAGCTGAGAGACAGTTGGAAATAGATCCTGGAGATAGATCCTCATGTGAGCCCCTGGATCCAGCCACACCTAGTTGCCCCCCTGGACTTTTCAGTTATAAAATCCCCAAATTTCCTTTTCTGTTTAGGCTAGTTTGAATCTGATTTCTCTGATTTACCAGAGCTCAGAGATGGGCAGCTACCTGACAGGTCGGCAACACAGGCTGTTTGTCTCCAGAGTCCAGGCCCCCAATCAGCAATTTTCCAGGTGCCCCTCTCCAGACCTCAGTTTCTCCACCTGCAGATTGAAAAGCTTTGCTTCTCAGATTTGAGTGCTGTCTGGATCCAGCAGGCCTAGGCTGGGGCTGATAGTCCACATTTCTAACATACTCCCAGGTTGTACTACTGCTGCTCTTAGTTAAGTGGCCTTCAGCTACAACAGAACTACCACTCTGTGTCAAAGCTTATAAAATAACTGAAACAATGATAAAAATAAGATAAAGCAACTATGAACACTGTAAGCAGACATAGGGCAGAGTACTTAAACATCACACCAGCCTCTAAGAAAAAGGGAACTACTATTGTCCCCACTGTAGAGAGGAAGAAAGGAAAGGCACAAAGGGGTTAAGTCACTGTCCCACATTCTCTTCCCCCCAACCATGAGTAAGCTCCTGGCCTTGGGGCAAAAGCCCCCAGACAGAGAAGGGGTCTCCAGGCTCAGAAAACAGAGATGGTGGGAAGGCTTGCTGAAGGCAAGAGAGGAAGGGCTTGAGCCCAGACAAGAGGAAGGAGTGGAACCCAGACAAGGGGAATGGAGAAGGGGATACTTAGGCCTTTCAGGACCAGGGAAATTGTCACAGTTTCCTCCACTTGGGAAGGACTCTCCTGACCTCATTAACAGTCCAGAGGCCATCTTCCTACTCACTGCTAGGGCCTCTACCTCCCTCCCTTTGTCTGTGGCCAGACTGTGGGGCCAGATACCAGCTAAGCTCAGGTCACACAGTGCTAGACCTGTCAGAAGCCCCTGGAAAGAGCCTTCCCCTCTCTGGGCCTCAGCTTTCCTATCTCTCATCTGTGCAATAGAATTGACCAAAACTTCCTAGTGGGTGGGAAATCTAGGGAAAACAAAAAGCCCTGAGGAAAGAGGCTATAGTTCTTCACAGCTGCTGTAACTTCCCTCAGTGCTTCCAACACCTAGCATGTTGTTGAGCTTTTAAATCCCCCTATCCTTTAGCCTTGGTGGACACTGTCTTAGAGAGGCCACTCCTAGTAAACTGCCAGCAGCCCAGGCAGGAGACCTAGAGGAAGAGGAGCCCTGGGCCCCTTAACTCTCCTTCAAGGCCCGACCTGATCTGACCCCTGCCTACTAGTCTACCTCATTGCCTTCCACAGTCCAGTCCCTGGCTTTCATTTTGTCCTCCTAGCTGCTAAGCTTATGCATATCTCAGGGCCTTTGTGCTTGCTCTTCTTTCAGCATTGTCTCACCATTCTGGCCACATCCTCAGAGCAGCCCTCCTTAACCATCTCTCACAACTAGCCCACCTTGTGTTTTATTTACAGCACTTAGCCTCTGTCTGAAGTGGCCCTAGCTGTGTGTTAATGTTTTTAGTAGCTGTCCGCCTTGGTGCTCATGACCCAATCCCCTAGAACAGTGCCTGGCACAAAATAAGTTCTCAACAAAATGTTATGATGTGATGTGGACAAATGAATCTCCAGCACAGTGCAGCCAAGCCCTTCTGGAGAGTGGAGAAGGTTGGGAGGACTCCAAGCCACAGGGTCAGCAAGCCCTGATCATTCTCCACAGCCCCGGAAGGCCTGTGTATCTGTGTCTGTGTTCACTGCCTCCTCCCAAAGACTTCCCCTGCCCACATCTCCCATGAGACTTTCAGTTACCTCCTCCCCTATTCTAATGAGTCCTCACACTAGGGTCCCTCTTCGCCCTCTGAAACTTCTCCGAGGGTGTCCTCTGAGGCTGTGCCCTGAGCGAGAAGGGATCACTCCCTAGAGGAAGGAGAGGGGACAGGTGGGCCCCAGTCCAGATGTGAGGATTGGAGGATTGGGGTCCCGATCAGCTCCAAGATCCCTCACGGCTGCTGCGGGGAGACCATAGATGCACCCGGGCTCGGCGGGGTGGGGGTGGGGGAGCTCCCCGCCGGGCAGGAGTCAGGAAAGGGCTGTAGATGCAGCGGAGGCCGGGGCCTCTCTGGACTAGAGGTGCCGGGCCCGCCGTAGGGCTTCACGCTGTGGCAGGAGCGGGCAGAGGGTCCCCTCTTACCTGAGAGTCCCAGGCCGCGCTCAGGTCCCACTGCCCTAGCCGCCCATCTGCCGCCGCCGGTGCGCGGACCCGGCATAGGCCACGGAACTCCGGCCTTCAGCGCCTAGAGCAGGCGGCCAGGGAGCATTGCGCAACAGCCGCGGGCCGCGGGCTCAGCGGAAATGGGTGTAGGTGGGGAGGCTAGGCGAGGTGCTGTCAGCTAGCTAGGCCCACCGGACCCCAGGACACTGTGCGGAGCTTCCCGGTAGCGAAGACCAGGTAGGTGGACGCGTTCTTTTCGTTTAGCCAAAACGGCAAAAAACACCTACAATCCCTACTAGGGGCCCTCAGGCCCGCCCCAGCCCCCAGTAACCTATAGGAATGGAGCTACAGTGAAAAGAGGGTGCGGACAGCAGAAGAAGCCAATCACATGTCCAGAAGGCGGAGCGGCCCGCTGGCTTCTTAAAGTGACAGCACACAGCCACCGAGAGGAAAGAAAGACGCTGCGGGGAACTCAAGCGGTGGCATTTCTCACCCAGAAGGCAGCCTGGATCGTGGACACTGCCACCTCTTGGCCCCCGCGCCTGCCAGCGGTCAGTAGCCGTCAACGGACCAGCTCGTTCCAGCCAGTGCTGCTCCTCTTGGGCCTAGCTGAGCCTGACGGTCAGGGGAGAATCCTCCAGGGACCGTCCCCTCGGCGTGCCGCTCTGGGCGCCCTTCAGCGGCAGTCCAGCCAGGTGACCTCTGGTCATCTGGGCGAGGAAAGCAGAGTATGGACGACCCTGCCCCCGGAAGGACGCGTTTCCATTAGCGTGCCACGCTGCCTGAACATCAAAGTGCTCCGGCATTATTGAGAACTATACAGAATCCAGGCACTAATTTTCACAACCCTGTAGGTTGGTTATTACTAGTCTCATTTTACAGAGAAGGAATCTGAAGCTTAAAAATATTAAGTAACTTACCTAAAGCCACACAACTTAGAAGTGACAAAGCCTAGACGCTGCCCCTCCTCTCATTATTTCTAACTTCAGCAATTCTTTAGGCAACTTCCTCTGGGAAGCCTTCCCTGATTACCCCATCCTTGCCCGTCTGACATCTATGCTTGACATCTATGCTGTGTTCTCTCCTGGCTCTTCTACTGTCCCCTCATGGTCTACCCCTACCCCCATGCCCACCTAAAACTAACTCTTCATTTCCTATCCACCCCCTCCTCATTCAGCATGCTCAAGCCTCATTGCTTCCCTCCCTTAAATACCAAGCTTGTTCCTCCCTGCAGTCCTCTGTATCTGGCTCCTGTCTGGCTGGCTCTTTGTCACATAGCCTCCTCCTTCCTGACATTCTAGCTAAAGTAGCTGTCCAGTCTTTGTTAAATAATGCCCTTTTATTTCCTCTGAGCACTGTCTCACTAACATGATTGTATTCATTTACTTGCTTCCTAGTCAGTCATCAGCCTCTCCCCACAAGAATATCAGTGTCATGAAAACAGAACTGTGCATGTCACATTCCCTGCAACGTCCTGAGGCTGACTCAGTGCCTGTTGCCAATTGTAAACACCCATAGTAAACCCAAGATACACACCCCATGATAACAAAGTTGCTTCACAGTTGGGCTGGAATGATATTGGTCTCTGTTCTTCACCTAGCTCCTTTTCTAAAACAGTGGGAAATTATGATGTCACCACTTTGTGACCATTTGGGACTCGGCTTATCTGGGACTGTCCCATGCTGGCAGTAGGACAGCGTGCAGTTTCCGTATCAGCCAGCAGAGTCTGTGCTCCATGCAGATGCCTGCCTTCATGTATGGACTGTAGGGAGTCAAGGTCAGCAATTAGAGTTTCTGCCAGGAAGTTATACACATACCCCAACTTACATTTAATTGGCAAAAGCAAGTCCTAAGCCACTTCTAACCTCCAGGGGCAGGAAACTTCTCTCCTACAATGTGCTAGAGGTAGAGAACTGTAGTATCTGTGACCAGACCAAATGACTACCTTGCATCTTTACTTTTATGCTTTTTGAGACAGTACAGACTTCTTGAGAGGAAAAAATGTTTGATATTACTATTGCAATGCACAATTCTATATTCTATACTCTGAATTTTGGGCCCCATTTGTAGGTTTCTGTGGGATTTTATTTGTGGAATAAATGAGGATTTGTATTTCACTCCCTTCCTTCAGGGCGGGCAGTGGCTTCTTCACTGCAGTATCCCACACACACAGAACAGAGTGAAGCATCAGCAAATTTCAATAAATAAGAGTGTAATAAAAATCTGACTCCCAAGTTCTGTTCCTTGCCCTACACCCACCTCAGGAACAGTCATCTTCTCTAGCCCACGGCTGACAGAAGGTGACTCTGCTGTAGAACTAACTGGTTCACTGTTAGCAATGGAGGTCCCAAAATAATAGAGACAAGATGGTCGTGCTCAGCTGTCAAGAGCTAAGTAGGTGCAGTCATCACAGAACCATTGAAGTCAGAGTAGTAGCCAGAAGGCTGAATAGATCACTGGGATGAACATACTCAGCAGTCAACAAAATGTCCACATTGGTTCCTTGGTTTGAGTGGTGAGAGTTTTCATAAAGATGAAGGTCAAGCGAAAGTCCCTGAAACTTTCTTCCCCTCACCCACCCACCTCAACCAAGATAATAAATAAAAAACAATATCATATGGCAGGGAAAATGACAGAGATTAGTCACCCTTGAAGACCTAAAGCATGTGGAAAGGGTTGAGCTCCATCACATCCCTATTTAATTCATCAGTCTGGCCTTGAAAAAATACAGATTGGTAGTGAACTGTTGCAAACTCAACCCCAATTGCAGGTCCTGGGCTGGTGTCATTGCTAGTGTCATCAACATGGCCTCAGGTGGATGACCTTTGATCTAACTATCCCTTTCAGGAACTGTTTAGATTCACAAGGAGGGACAACAGTTTACATTATGGTCTTGCCCCAGGCCTATGGTCACTCTCCCACCCTTTGTCTTCATATCTTCATATAATCTGAAGGGCCCTGGCCATCTGGACATTTTGCAGAATACTGCATTGGTTTATTGTATCAATGATATCCCACTGATCTGGCTGGCTGAACAAGTAGATGAAGACCTGAAGAGGCAATTTTATTCACAAGGACGGAAGATAAACCCTGTAAAGACTTGGGGGCTTGCCACATCAGTTAAATTTGTAGGGGTCTAGTTGTCTGGGGCATACCATGACATCACTTCCAAAGTAAAGGACAAATGATTGCACTTTGCCCACCCCATCACAGGAAAGGAAACACAATGCCAGAACCTACTCTTTGGGTTCTGGAGGAGATATATTCCACACCTGGCAATGCTGCTCTTGCCCATACATCTCAGGGTGATATTAAAGGCTTCCAGCTTAGAGTGAGGCTCACAGCAGGAAAGGGCTATTCCATAGGCCACAGGGCTCACAGATCCTATGCTATTAGTGGCATACGTGGTAGGAGAAGATGCTGTGGAAGTTTATTGCAAGACCTAGTGGGTGTCAACTTTGAGAACTACAAGGCAAACAAAAGCTTTATTTGGGATTTTTTTTAGGAATTTCAAATCGGGGAGGCACAGATTTGGGTAGAATCCCAACTGTATTCCTAGGGAGAAAGAAAAGGATTGAGTTTATAAAGACAGAAAAAGAGGGGCTTCCAAAGAAGTTATACAAGTTGCTTTGAAAGAGCTGTGATTGGGGCTGGCAAAGCAGACTTATACTATGCTATAAATGATTAATTGCTTTTGTCTATTCCTAGATGAAATTTTTATTTTTTTAATAGAAGATTCAGTGATGCATAGCCAGTTCTAGGAACTGTATCAGAAAGTAGCCATTTGGTTTAGCCCACTTCAACAGTTCAGTTGCACGTGGAGAGGCCAACTTCCTAGAGGCCTCCATTTTAGATTGCTCTCTTGACAATACCAACTTTATTTTGCTGTTTCCTTTCACATTTCCCCTTTTTGTTCAAGATCTTTCCTAAGAAAGCATTGATGATCAACCATTGGGAAGTATCGTTGATCTGTCATTGGAAAAGCAACATCAATCCCTCTTCTCCAGGAAGGCTCATTGCTGGTATGTCATGTCCCATGTAAAGGGAAAGTAGTCTCCTGTGTGTACAGTAAGAGTGCTTATGTACACATTTGAGCAATAGGAGGCTCGTTGGAAGCAGAGCTAAGAGGTGGTCTCAGTTGGATTTATTGATTGTAACATCTTTAGGTCTTGGGCTACTATTATTCTGGTAGTGGCCATTAGTCATTCTTAAATGCACCTGGTAAAACACCTAGTTAAAGTAGTGATCAATATAATTACAAAAACCAATATGATTAAGGCCTATAATATAAAACAAAACCAGCTCTCTATTCCAGCCAACTAAATAAGTATGCCCAATCCCAATTTATAGGGTAATGTTCAGTCTTTTCAAGGGATTTTAATGTTTTGTTTCAGAACTTCAAGCCATTGAATCATTTTGCCTGATTTGTTAATACAGAAACAACATTCCTTTCCTGGTAAGGCAAAGTACCACCTTGCTAGGTGGCTAACACATCCAGACCGTATGGTTTTGTACTGCTACCTCAGCCAGACTGTCAGTCATTCCTTGTAGTTCTTCAAGAGTAGTTGCAATAATATTCCATGATTGTGCTATAAGAATAGAAAGATTTCTGATAGACTTTTCTAATTGAGCTACTCCATACCAAAAAAAGAAAACTCTAGTGAAGACATGCCCAAAGCCTCATTGATTATTATGGGGTTTTGGTTGGGGAGAGTACTGAAAAGACCATGCCCAAAATCCCAATTCTGTTTGGTCCATTTTGGTCAGTCTATAGACAAGAGTACCTAAACCAGGGATAATGGCAGAGGAAAGGAGAGTCTTTCCAGTGACATCAGATACTAACATAACAATACCATATCTGCCTTGCTCATCAAGTTGGCAAGGTGACATATATTTGGGTCCCACACAAGGAGAAACACCTGGTGCCCTCAAATGAGAGTGTGCAATTAACCCCAGACTGTAAAGGGAGTATTAAGCCTATTTTTGAGGCAGGGATTTCATGTCCTCCATATGTTGGTTGATCATAATAGTTGTCAACACAGAAGGCATTAAAGTCATCATTTATGATTTATGAGTGTGATTAAAAGAGCAGCTGAGGTTTCTATATATTTGAGTTAAGATTGAAGTATCAGCATGGGTTTGAATGTTCTAAGTTTTGGGGCTAGGATTCCCTAAAAGATAGATTTTTACCTATTTTCCATCAAATGCCAAATTTTTTATCTAGTCCCCTAGTAGTATTTGGGAGCAAAAGGACATCTACCTTCCAAGATTGTGTGGCATTATATACTGATTTCCCCACATTAGAGAGACATTGTAAGAATAATAAGG